TGGTCATTCTCCAGGTGTGCTGCAGTGTGCAATAAGAGTGTGGTCATTCTCCAGGTGTGCTGCAGTGTGCAATAAGAGTATGGTCATTCTCCAGGCGTGTTGCAGTGTGTAATAAAAGTGTGGTCATTCTCCAGGCGTGTTGTGGTGTGCAATTGAGGTCACACCTCTCCCTCCTCAAAACGGGCCAGTTGCTGCTCCAGTTGCTCGATTCTCTGACCCTGGGAAAGAACCAGGGCTCTCAGCGCCTTCAGCTCCAGCAGGATCTCACACAGCTGCTCCTCCTGACGAGAGGGGGGAGGAGCAAAGCCAGAGTGAGTTCAGGTCTGAGGCGTTGTTTAAGCACATACTGTATCTTCTTCGATACCACAGAGATGACTCGATACTGCTATGCAGATTCACAGTCCCTCTGTGTGACCCACAGTAGAGATCCCAGGCTCTCCTGTATGCTCACCTCCCCCCCTGCCCCCTCCCTTTCTTGAGTGTCCTCCCCCGCCAGTGCTGATGCCGCCGCACAGACCCCCCCTGCCTCTGTGTCCGGGCTGGCCGCAGGGAAGACCTTGTCGACGGGGGTTTGGGCTAGACGGGATTCCTCAGGCTCCCCTGCAGATGAGGGCCTGTGTCTGGCCAAGACGGCAGCTCCCTGCCTGGAGGGAGGAGCTTCGTACCCCCCACTCAAGGACACCAGCATGGGGGGGGCGTCCTGGCCTGCGACCCAGTCTTCAGCCAGCAGGGCTGGTTCCAAGCCTGCCGTGTCCGGGTACAGGTCTCCCTGGAAGAGATCCGACTGTGGGGAAGGGGGGGGGGGGGGGGGTGCACAACATATCTCAGGCACATTTCAGTGAGTGCAGTGGCGAGTTCAGCCCCTCCTCCCTCAACTCCCCAGCAGAATACAAATTTCGTCAATTCATTTATGTTAAAGACATTTCATTAGCAAAGGGTATCTGGCTGCTAGCTAGCTAGCTTGCGTCTCACAAGAAAAGTAGTGAAATATTTCTTCTGGTTATTTTCAGTTGCTCTTTTGCTCCCTCTAATCAAATGGCGCCCTAGGCGATTGCCTGTGTTCCCTACCTGAGAGTGAGACCCTATTAATGTTGATCAGTTAAGCTGCCCTGCAATGGCAGTAATTTGATTCGTTACAGCTGTAGCCGTCACACAGTGTATAAACAGAAATGACGCGCTCGGCGCCGGAGTGTGTGTAGGGATGGAGAGGCACAAATGGGAAGCGGGGAAACCAAGTAGACAGGGGTCAAATCATCTCTGAAGAGGCAGTGCCGGTATCGCTATGACGACACAGCCAAAGACCAATGATACGCAAGGGGGGGGGGGGGGGGAAGATCGGCAGCTCGCCGCTGCAGAAACTCTGCACCCATGGAAAAAAGCCACCGCAGCCAAACCACACAACACATCTAGTGTCGATAAACACATTAACTATTATCAGGGGTGCCAACCAACATAGGGGTAGCACCAACACCAAGTACATTACTTGCATATTTCCGTCAATGTGCTTGGCCGGTCAAAGTGATTAGAATTGTAACCTTCCAAAAGATAAGGGAGGATTCTAACAAGGATGCAGGAATCAAAAACTAAGAAAATAAGAACTCAGAACTAAGAACTTAAGCAATAAATCTAGAACCAAGAACTAAAAAATTTAAAAATGAAGAACTAAATTAATACATTTTAATTAACTAAATTAAGACATTTTAATTATTTTGTTTTTTAAAGTGTTTATTCGAAAAAGTATGCTAAAGTCCTAACATTTTACATGTCCATGAACTAGAAAAAATAAAATTTACATTAAGAGCGCCACATATCAAAAAGCAACTGCACTGACCTCAGGTGGCAATGAGTGGAAATTGCAACTTATATTTCACAACCGTCTCACCTTCCTAGGGACAGTCATGGAGATGGGCTCCACCTTCCTCTCGTGTAGTTTGTAGAACCTGAGGAGAAGTAGGGGAGAGTATCACGTTCCTCAAGTTGAGTGGGAAGACGGGAGCATTTGCGCCGAGACGCGGTGAGGGAGTACCTCGCGATCTCGCACTTGTTGACGTCCACGCCTCGCTTGCTCAGGAAGCCGGCTCCTCTCTGTGGCTCCTTGCTGCTGTAAAGGCTCAGGAAGTGCACGTGGGGTGGCTCCTCCGTCACCTCGAAGTAGCGGATGGTGCAGTCACCCTAAGTCCATTAGCCGTGCGTGGCCAACGTCGGCGGAATACAGCAAGCGCCCGTCAGTGCGATACAAACGACTCCTCCTGGGTCTCTCTCAAACAGCATCATCCACAATGGCCAGACCGGCACGCATCGTACCCTGTAGACGTTGCAGTCAGGTACGCTTACCTTGCCACACAAGTAGACCATGTTGGTGTCAGGGTCATAAAAGGGCAGGAGCACGCCGTTGCTGCTGTCCATCTCCTGCATGACCATTGGCTCAGAGAAGTCATCCTGAAGAAGCAGACACAGGGCAGGGTGTACATGTACATTGGTAAGGGTGAGGCAAGCTTATTTATAGAGCATATATAGTAATCGGTTTAAATTACACCTAAGCAGTTCATTTAGAGAGAAAAAAATGACACAAAATACAGTTATACAATTATATTTATATGCAGTTAAAAAAAAATCAATTTATTTCTATGCAACGCCTTTCACAATGCTGCCACAATGCACTTTAACCGGGGTGCTGTACTGCGCTCCTGTATCGTTTATATAAAAAAACATCAAAAAGGGAAAAAGGACAAAGAACCGAAAGAGAAAGAGCCAGATGACGAGGGAGACGAAGAACTGAAAACTCCCAAGTAGGGAGGAAATATAAACCTCTGCAGGTTCTAGGTCAACTGGGTGCCCCCCCCCCCTGCAGACATGCTAAAGATGCAGTGGGCTTGCTGGCTAAAGGCTAAGTGCAAACTGTGGTTATATAATACCAAGTAATATGGTGAAAATACAGTAAAAAGAAAGTGCAATGCAATTCCTGAATTAACCAAAGGCATGGATGAATACATTTTTTTATTTTTATATAGTGCCTACTGCTGCTTCCAGCTGCATCGTGATTGGCTGGGAGAGCACAGTTCTCACAATCTATTTCCTGCTCCTTAGGGCGGCCTACAGTGGAACACGGCCTCTGAAAATGGCGAAGGGGGCGGGTCTGCAAACAGTATTTCACTGGCAGCCTAAGTGCAGCTGGATCTGAATATGAGTGTTTTCCATCGTCCACAACATAATCATTACACTACCTTCTCTCACTCCTCCATTTTCACTACTCTGTGATCTCGGGTTGCTCACCGTGTCCCACAAGGCGAGTTGCCTCTCGCTCATGCGACTGAAGCCCGTGGTCAGGATTTTCCCATCAGAGAGAAACACAGCTCTCATTGGCCGGGTGCCGTCGTGCACCTTTTCTCTCACCTGCCAGCAGGGGGGGGTCACACGACAATTAGTTTCAGAAGATAATTTGTTTTTCTAGGTTAGAAGCATCTCCGCAAAAAAAACAAAAATGAGAAATTGGAAACTTAGCATCAAAGTTACCAGTATGACTGATGGTTTGTCTTACATGCAGCGCGGGGACTATGACACGTGCTAGAACAAACACTATGACAGAGTAACGGTGTGGACAGTGGGACCTGGAGCACGGTTCCACGTCGGGGGTCAATGACGCGCAGGGCCTTGTCTTTGCACGTGGTGCAGATGGCGCTACCCTCTCTGTTCCAGCACACGCTGTAGATCAAGTCGGGGTGCATGTCATCAAGACGATATAGCTGCTCTCCAGTGCCAACATCCCATAGGCAGAGCACGTTGTCACAGCCTGTGAAACAAATGCAAGTGACACAGTGAGACACACGCGTACTGAATTCAGGCTGCCTAAGGTTACAGACGCACACGTACTGAATTCAGGCTGCCTAAGATTACAGACCCACTGTACCGAATTCAGGCTGCCTAAGGTTACAGACGCACTGTACTGAATTCAGGCTGCCTAAGGTTACAGACGCACACGTACTGAATTCAGGCTGCCTAAGATTACAGACCCACTGTACCGAATTCAGGCTGCCTAAGGTTACAGACGCACTGTACTGAATTCAGGCTGCCTAAGGTTACAGACGCACGCGTACTGAATTCAGGGTGCCTAAGGTTACAGACGCACTGTACTGAATTCAGGCTGCCTAAGGTTACAGACGCACACGTACTGAATTCAGGCTGCCTAAGATTACAGACCCACTGTACCGAATTCAGGCTGCCTAAGGTTACAGACGCACTGTACTGAATTCAGGCTGCCTAAGGTTACAGACGAACTGTACTGAATTCAGGTTACAGATACACGTATGCTGAATTCTTTTGACTGGAACTGTAAAAATCTGGCCTTCAAGTGCACCATCCGCAGCTATCTGAGCAAAATATAGTCAGTGGCAGGGGGGTACCTGCACTCAACAAGATGTTTAGGGTGGAGGGATGCCAGGCTAGGATGCCGACCCTCTTGCTGTGTCCCTCCAGTGTCACGGCTGCTTCTGTCATGGGGCTCGTGAGACCCCCATCTGGGATCTGCCACACCTTTCAGTAGAGAAGGTAGATGTCGGTGAATGCTGCAGCCATACATGCACATATAACACAACGATGCGCATAGGCAGGCACATACGCCAACACTTTACCTTAACGGTGGTGTCCTCTGAGGCACTAGCAATAATAGTGTCATCGTGGGGACACCACTGGATGTCCAACACTGGGGCAGTGTGACCACATACCAGAGGGGTGTTCTGGTCAACGCGGCCACTCTGTTGGGGAGAAGGGCAGGATCTAACATTAAATGTCAAGCTCATACCATTAAAAGGCTCTTTTAAAAGTTCCTCATAAACTCAATAAAAAGACTAAAGAATGATCTCCCCCCCCCCAAACCATACTGATGTGCACACCTTGCTGAGCGGCAAAACAAGAAACGCGCCCCCTCCCCCTGCCTCGACGATGACAGCGATGAACTTAGGGTTGGCGTCACAGAGTGGTCCCTCCCACGTAACGCGTGTCACTCTGACATCATCGAGGCAGTTTTCTGGCTTCCAGGCCTGGGCGAAGACGTGTCGGAACTTACTCTGCCTAACGATGCCTCTCCTGAAAGACATGGCTGGAAAGGGAGAAGCGGGGAAGACTGTTTAACCTGGAGATGCATTCATCTTCTGATTAAACAACATACCAGTGGTCACCAACTGATGGGCTCAGCTCCACAGCCAGACTGAAATGCAATTCAATCCAGACCGCACAATCATACGCCCCTCCCCCCAGTCAGCGAATTTTATTGCCAGGGGAATGTATGCTTTCAGAAATACAGGGAGGCACAAAATATATAGGCTGGCACTGTGTTGTAGCACAAAAAAGATGTTCTTTTCTGAGGCGGCTAACTAGCTAGCTAAGTGAAAAATAATGTTAGCCTACGAAATACACAACATATCAGTTAACACATTGGTATCAGAATATTTTCAGTAAAAATAAGGATACCACATTGATCAATGTGTCAGTCTTGTTGATATTGCCGGCCAATATTTAAACTTTATCAATATTTTAAGTATAAGGTAGTGGCACCAGAGCTAAAGACACAATCACTAAAATAAATAAGCAAGTTCCTCCGGGATCAATAAAGTTTTCTGATTCTGAATCTGATAAAAGAAAGAGATGATCGCTTTGGATAAATATGTGCTTTCCGTAGTAGAAGACCAGGACCAGGGGCCTCATTGGCTTATTCATCGTCTCACAGTACTGACCCACAACGTTGACAATTTATTTTTACATCCACCCCCCCCAAAAAAAAAAAAAAAAACATTTCCACATTGGTGCACCACTCCACCTCTGGTGAGCCCAGGTGAAAGCAGCCACTACAATGTTAACTTAATTTAATGTGTTTGGTTTTTTTCTCTACAGTTCAGTAGATGACCTCTGTCCAGTGCTACTCTTTGTTGAAGTAAACATCACCACGACATCGCTGACTTCTTAAGGCAAGCAAAAGACTCTGCGAGCTTGTATCCATTTATATAGATACATTACAGAAGAACAATCGGGTCAACACATTATATAAGGAAATTATAAAATTAATGGGTTTAGTTAAAGCCTACATCCCAAAAACAAAACAGTGATGAACTATTTAATAAAAAAGTACCGCATATCAAAGACTACAGACAATGTGTGAAAAGACACAAATCCACAACATTGCCTGGTACCTAAGATAACTAGAATCGCATGAGGTCTCATCTACTAGGACCACACTCAAATCAGCAGACACCTACGAATGTGCTGGAAAACGACCACTGGTGCTGTACCAGTTATACAGTAGGACCGCTTTGCATAGTTTACATTTCCGGGATTCCATTGCTGGAAGGGGTCACACCTTTGCTAAGGCAAGAGAGAAAGTATTTGAAGAATCCGCTGAAAACCCAGACTCACTGTAACGTTAACTTCACACAATAAAGAGATGGACAATGGTTTCTCACGGTATTCTTCCAAATAACACATAAATTATTATTTTTTATATTTTTCAATGTACCAGACGCGTGCATGCGCAATGAAATAATAGCAAAATAACAGAAGCATCAGTTTTATAAAACAAGATTTCGGGAAAACCAAAACCTTAATAGGGCAACAACCAAGACAGCAGTTTGGCAGATACAGGGCTTATTTAGCTCACTAAGTAGGTGACCGGTAAAAAAATAAAAATAACTGGGACAACTGAATGAATTAAAATAAAATTACGGCTTTAATGAATTTAACGATGCTATTTACTGTACCTGGTTGTTGGAGAACTTCGATTTCCTTAATTACTACGATATGAAAGGCAGAGAATATACCCGGAAGATGCTGCAAAACGCAACAGAAAAAAATAGAACAAAAAGAAAACAAAAATGATCTGCCGCCGTCGGTAATCTAATCCGGGACGTGGGTCTTGATCCGCGGCGCGGTGGTCGTCTGAAAGCCACGTACCTACTCGAAAATGCAGAAGTGGAAACAGGAGAAAGTCGCGATAACAGCGAGGATATAAATATTTACAGGTAAAGCTGGATCCCAACGCAGGACAGCTTACAGGCGGGGATAAAATACGAGGAAGCGAATGGACTTAAATGTGAACGATCTTGTGTCTTAATGAGAAAATAAACGCGGGAAAGCGACACGACAATCAGCGAGGAATGGGCCAGAAAAGGAAACGCATATCTGCACAGATAGAGTCCTTTTTTTATGAATTATTATATCGCTTATACTGAGTGCTGGAATGACAGCTATCGAGGCAGCTCACATCCAACACTTCCGCCCACAACAGGATACGCACGCCGTTGTTTTTTGCCTCGGTGACTCAGCGCACTCCAATGGCACAGCCTTACGTGTGCGCCCCCCTTCTGAGTACGGGAGACGGCATCTAGTCAAGTCAAGGCAAGTCAAGAGGGCTTTTTGTCTTTCCATCCATATAAAGGCATAGAGTAGCACAAAATATCGTTGCCCCAGGACCACGAGGCCATAGACAAACAGCAAGTAACGAGAGGAGGATTTCACAATACTTAATTAAAGTGCAAGTAAGAACATAGGACTTTATGAAGCACTGGGCCTGGACACTGAGGATTATATATATATATATATATATATATATATATATATATATATATATATATATATATATATATATATATATATATATACACACACACACACAGCTGCGGGAAAAAAGGTGAGGTGAAGCAGGAGACACGGGAAACAGCCAGAAACCAGACAGGTAAAGGGGGAAGTGACTTTCTAATGCCAGAGATGACCTTCAGAAGGAATGGGAAGCATTAAATGCAGGTGTCCAGTGCACTGCTAGGACAGTTCATGTCAGGCTCCTAGAGGCAGGACTGAAATCCCATAAAGCAAGGAAGGAGCCCTTCATTAATGAGAAACAAAGAAGAACCAGGCTGCAGTTTGGAAAATAATAATAATAAAAAACATTATTCACAGATACACACCCATAAATTGAGAAATGAGAGAAAAAAACTGTGCTGTGGTCTCAATTTTTTCTGCAACTGTGTGTATATATATGTCTGTGTGTGCGTATGTGTGTGTGTGTGTGTGTGTGTGTGTGTGTGTGTGTGTGTGTGTGTGCGTGCAGATATTGCCCCCACGGTATGTATGGGTGTATATATACTATAATATATATAGGCAACACAAGCCAGAGCAGGGTTAAGTAATCTCTAGTGCTTAATTTGTGCTGTAGCTCTAGGACCTTTGTTGTGAAAGGCATTATATCTTTTTTTTTATTATTAAAAGTAATTAATAGCAGATTATCATTGTTAAACATAGATTCTCGTGTAAATTGTTGCCTTGATCTCTGTGAGCTGAAATGGCATCTCAGAAACAAGTTAAGCACATCTACCGAGGGGGATGATGTGAGAGAGATGGATAATGCCGCTTCTTTCAAAAAGATTTATGACCTAAAGGTCAAAAGGTTCACTGGGGGGGCGGGGTTGGGGTGGAGCCAGGTGACATCACGACTAGTGACGTTGTTAATTATTTGCATATGTTGGGAGAGGGGTGGTTTTTTAAAATTATTTTTTTATTTTTATCATTATTTTTTACATTATGTATTTATTTTTATTATTTTATTATTATTATTTATTTATTTATTTATTTATTTATTTTATTTTGACTAGTTTGGAGAGTGAAATGAAGTTTCAGTGAATTGTGTGCTTATGAGTGTGATTTGTAGGAATAGCCCCGTGTTATGAGGGTGATGGCTGACGGTGCCGAGCACGTAGCTGAGCGGGTTGGTTACCTGATGGAGTGTGAGCGTACGCTGGGTCTGCCTGTGCTGCGGTACTGTGGGAAGGTCCCGGTTGGTCCAGAGCGTGTAAATGTTGCGGATAAGGACTTTGGACATTGTGCAAAGGACTCGGAGATTGTGAGAGCGATGTTGGAGCTTATAACTGTGTTGCGCGAGTCTGAAAGAAACTGTGTGAAAATGAGAAAGTTGGAGCTAAGAATGAGAGGAGGAGGTGGGTCTGACGCTATCTTACAATAAACGCTTAGCAGCAGCAGTTTGGCCATGTGTCTGTGAAAGCTGACCCCCCCCCGCAGAAGCAGTTTGGCCGGTTTATCAAAACTACTTTGCTCAACACAACTCGCCACCCACAGCGTCTAGTGAAGCGAGGGCCAAAGACCCCTGTTTCCTACTGTCCTTAGAGACATTATTAATAATAATTTCACAGACACACAGCCAAACTGCTTCTGCGGGGGGGGTCAGCTTTCACAGACACACGGCCAAACTGCTGCTGCTAAGTGTTTATTGGAGGATAGCGTCAGACCCTCCTCCTCCTCCTCCTCTCATTCTTAGCTCCAACTTTCTCATTTTCACACAGTTTCTTTCAGACTCGCGCAACACAGGGATAAGCTCCAACATCACTCTCACAATCTCCGAGTCCTTTGCACAATGTCCAAAGTCCTTATCCGCAACATTTACACGCTCCGGACCGACCGGGACCTTCCTACAGTACCGCAGACCCAGCGTATGCTCACACTCCATCAGGTAACCAACCCGCTCAGCTACGTGCTCAGCACTGTGCTCAGCTCCGTCAGCCATCACCCTCATAACACAGGGCTATTCCGACAAATCACACTCATAAGCACACAATTCACTGAAACTTCATTTCACTCTCCAAACTAGTCAAAATAAAATAATTAAAATAAATAAATAATTATAATTATAATAAAATTAATAACAATAAAAAATAAATAAAAATAAATAAATAATGTAAAAAATAATGATAAACATAAATAAATAATTTTTAAAAACCACCCCTCTCCCAACATATGCAAATAATTAACAACGTCAATAGTCGTGACGTCACCTGGCTCCACCCCAACACCGCTCCCCCCAGTGAACTCTTGACCCATAACCTTTTGACCTTTAGGTCATAAATCTTTTTGAAAGAAGCGGCATTATCCATCTCTCTGATGCGGTAACTCCCCAGATTATTTTCTATGTGAAAGTAGGCCTAGCTTTCATCATAGCTAGGGTAGCTATGCAGCAATCGGTCTTGGGCTAAGCATGTGACTATAAATCCTTTGTTCATGAGTTTGAGACCAGCTTCCTCTTTATTTGTAATTAGTGGATTTTGTTCCCTAATGTTTCTTCTGTATTAGTTTTCCTGTTCCTAGTTTGTGGTTTGCGTTCTGTTTTGGTTTTTGCTTTGTGCCCTTGGTTATGTTTTACCTGTCTTTGTTATATTCCTAGTGTTACATTCTGTTTCCTAATTTCTCTGTTAGTATCTTAGTTCTATAATTTAGTTTATTAGAGCCACCTGTTTCCTGTTTCCCTGTGCCTCACGTTTGTTCTCACCTGTCCTGCGTTGTCTTGTTGGCCTTGTGTATTTAAGTTCCTGCTCTGTTCTGGGGTCAGTTATTGTATGTTGATCAGTTAAGGTTACTCTGTGCATTGTTGCTGTTAGATGTTACTCTGCCTGGTCTCCCCAATGAACTCCTGTTGTCTCTTGGAGCCACAAGTGGATCGTCACCACCTTCCTTTCTCTGCCTCCACCATGCCCCCCGTCCATGAAAATTAAAGTACAGTACATTTAAAAATATTTGTAATCTGATAATTTACTTTTTTAAGAATTACTATTTTTAAGATTTTTAATTAGCCTACATAAACAAAAATCCATCCTGACCTCTCCTGGAGCCGACACCTTATCGTGGTGGAGGGGTTTGCGTGTTCCAATGATCCCAGGAGCTAAGTTGCCTGGGGCTTTATGCCCCTGGTAGGGTCACCCAAGGCAAACAGGTCCTGGGTGAGGAACCAGACGAAGTG